TGCTCTCCCTCAGGAGGATCGGATGGGACGTCGTCGCCGCCAACCGCTGGGTCATGGACGACGGCGAGGCCATCGCGCCCTTCGACTGCGCGCCGTGGGTCGTGGCCAAGCTGTTGAGGAGAGCAGTGCAGCGCTGGCAGTGGAGGCAGGTCAGCAAAGCCCCAGGTTGCGCGCACTTGGCTGGTGGCGGCGAGCTGGAGCCCCTGGTCAGGCTCACCTCCTCTGGCTGTGCCAGGAAAGCCGACGAGCCACGCCGAGAGGAGGGAGCACCTCGCACCAGGGTTCGGTTGACGGCGCGTGAGCAGGCCTACCTGAGGTCCCTCATCATCGACGGGCAGTGGACTCAGGCGCGTAAGGAGGAGAAGGGGCTGGCGCCCAGTGCTGGGTGCTTGAGGTGTGGCGCCAGGGGCACGCTGATGTACAGGCACTTCGACTGCCCGTGCTGGAGTGAGGAGCTGACCGTCCCAGAGGACTTGGCAGGCCTCCGAAGGCAGAGCGGGAGGCCTGAGGTACAGCTGCTGCTGGAGAGGTGCCTGTGGCCGACACCGCGGGGCATCCGCCGCCCGCCAGTGTGCAGCGACGTGTGCTGGAAGGGCGACCACGAAGGAGGCACCCTTCCTGGAGGCGAGCTGTTTCTCGACGGCTCGGCGTTCGAGGCGGACTACGAGGAGGTGGCGGCAGTTGGCTGGAGTGTGGTGGCGCTGCAGGCGCACAGCGACGGCTACAGGGCCTCCATCGCTGGCCAGATGGAGGGCCACTGCGTGGACATCAACGGCGGGGAGCTCACGGCGGTGATCATGGCGCTCAGGTTTGGCCAAGGTGTCACGGTGCTGGTGGTCGACTCCAAGTACGTGTACGACGGCTTCTACAAGGTCGGCAGGGTAGGCACCACGGGCTACGCGTACACGTGGGCGCACCTGTGGCGGCGAGCCTGGGACCTGCTGGACGAGCGAGGAGGTCTCGGGCATGAGGTCAGCCTCAGGTGGATGCCCAGCCACAGTACGCGGCGGCAGGTGGCGGCAGGCGAGGTGCTGTACAGAGATTGGTACGGCAACCGACTGGCTGACAGGGCGGCAAAGGCTGCGGCGGCCAGCGGGCGCCTCCCCGCGCGGGACAGAGAGCGCCTGGAGAGGAGCCGAGACGTGGTCGAACGAGCAGCCATGTGGTGCGCGGCTGTCGGCAGCTGGGTCGACGGCAGCGACACCACGCACGGCAAGACGAAGGTGCAGCGAGCCCTGCCAGTGCGCAAGGAGCCAGCGGCGAGGATGGCCTGCGTCTGGCGGAGGCTGCCTGGCCAGCGGCCCTGGTGCGAGGTCTGCAGATGGTCAGGCAGATCAGGTGAGTGCCCTGGCAGCATCGTCGCCGAGGCGATCAGGGCCAACAACAGGCTGAAGGCGCAGCAGAGGGCGTCGCACGACCTGGTGCTCCTTGCGCCTGTGGATTGGAGGATGCTGGTGCGCAGGATGCCGCTGGTCGCTTGCAGGGCGTGCGGCTTCACAGGCGCGGCCAGAGCGAGCTCCTTCCACCTTGAGTGCAGGAGTGCCCCGTCGGCTGCAGGTGCCGCCGCAGTCGCGAGACTGAGAAAGGGGCTGGCTCCGAAGGTGGTCAGCGAGGTGGCAGTCAACATCACGGTGCTGGCGGACGACGTGCAGGAGGGGAGAGGGCAGTCGCCGCGGGACATCGCGGAGGAGGAGGACGGCCACTCCTCGAGGCCGCCAGGAGGAGCTCCAGGTGGTGGGGCAGGGGAGGGTGCGGGCTCACTGCGTCCCCTGACCCCTGAGGGCTCCAGAGCGGCGGCTGGCCTGAGAGGACGAGCTGACGGCAGGTGTGCAGCCGCGGCGCACCAGGCCGAGGCAGGAGACGAAGCAGGGCCTGCGGGCGGCGGCGGAGGGCCACGGCAGCGGCGCCGCACGCGTGTGCGCAGCAGATCGCTGAGGCAAGCCGCGCTGACGCCGCCCTCGAGGTCGCCGATGCGGGCGGCCAAGGTGGCCAAGCTGCAGCAGGAGGAGAGCCAGCGGACTGAGGCGGGCCCTGCAGAGGGAGGAGACGAGGTGGCCACAGGTGGCAGCGGAGGCGGACCGCCCCCGCCGATGATGGCGGACGACGCGCAGGAGGTGAGAGGCCAGTCGCCGCAGGACGTCGCGGGGGAAGAGGACGGCCACGCCTTGCGCAAGCCAGAAGGAGCTCCAGGTGGCGGGGAGGACGCGAGCTTGCTGCGTCCCCTGACCCACGGGGGCTACCGCGGTGCGGCTGGCCCGAGAGGGCGAGCTGGCGGAGGGCGTGCAGCCGCGGAGCGCCAGGAGGCCGCAAGAGGAGATGCAGGGCCTGCAGGCGGCGGCGGCGGGCCAGGCCCGCGGCGCCGCGTGGGTGTGCGCAGCAGCTCGCCGAGGCAGGCCGCTCCGACGCCGCCCTCGCTGGCGCCGAAGACGGCGGCCGAGGTAGCCAGGCTGCAGGAGGGTAGCCAGCGGCCTGAGGCGGGCCCTGCCGAGAGAGGAGACGAGGTGGCTGCAGGTGGCAGCGGCGGCGGACCGCCCCAGCCACGCGTGGCCAGCGGAGTCCAGGTGCTGGCGGACGAAGCGGAGGACTACAGCGCAGCGGCTGGCCCGAGCGGGCGAGCTGGCGGCAGGCGTGCAGCCGCGGTGCGCCACGCCGCGGCACGAGGAGAGGCAGGTGCTGCGGGCGGCGGTGGAGGGCCAGGCGCGCGGCGCCGTGCGCGAGTGCGCAGCGGCTCACCGAGGCTGGCCGAGCTGACGCCGCCCTCGCAGTCGCCGAGGCGTGTGGCCAAGGTGGCCAAGCAGCAGGGCGAGTGCCAGCGGCCTGTGGCGGGCCCTGCACAGGCAGGAGACGAGGTGGTTGCAGGTGGCAGTGGCGGCGGACCGTCCCAGCCGCGCGAGGCCACAGAGGTCAGGCCGCAGGAGGAGGTCCAGCCACCCGCAGGGGAACCTGCTGCTCGATGCGAAGCAGGGGCTGCGGGCGGCGACCACGTGGCCATGGAGAGCGGGCTGCAGGAGGAGAGGATGCCGCCCGCAGGTGGCTCTGCTGCTCGAAGCGAAGCAGGGGCTGCGGGCGGCGGAGGCGGCTGGCCGAGGCCGCGGCGCGGCGCGCGGGAGCGCAGCAGCTCGCCAGGCTTGGCAGCCAAGGTGGCGAGGCTGCTGCGGGCCGCGCGGGGTGAGGCCTGGCCGACAGCCTCGGGTGCGTAGCTGCGCCGAGGCGCGGGCGCGCGTGGGGCGCGCGCCTCGCAGGGGTGGCCGTGGCTCGACGCGGTCCGCCTCACCCCGCGGGCATCATCCTCCTCCTCCTCCCTCCTCCTTGATCCTCCTCCTCCTCCTCCTCCTCCTCCTCCTCCTCCTCCTCGCTCCTCGCTCCTCGCTCCTCGCTCCTCGCTCCTCCTCCTCCTCCTCCTCCTCCTCCTCCTCCTCCTCCTCGTTGCGCGTGCGCCCTCGCCGACCCTCGGGGCAAGGGTCGGGACTTCCAGGGGCCCCGCGCTCAAAAAAACAGTACGCCCGAGCCAAGAGTCAGGAGGGGACAGAAATGCACGGACGCAACGAATCTTCGACTCCGAGGAAGATATGGGAAAAGATTGGAAGTGGGGATGAAGACGAAAACCCCGAACATCTAGATGGAAATATATGGGGAATCCTGGGACTTGTGCTTCTTCATTTGTGTGTGTCCCTGGACCTCTTCAAAGAGGGCGTGCGCGCCGAGCCTGGGCCCATGGGATGGGCCTCGTTGGGCCGATGCGGCCAGGTCGCCCCGAGGGGTGCCGCGCGTCGTGCGTCGTCGTCGTCGTCGCTGTCGTCGTCGGCGCCGTCGTCGTCGTCGTCGCCGTCGTCGCTGTCGTCGTCGTCGTCGTCGTCGTCGTCGTCCTCGCCGTCGTCGTCGCCGTCGCCGCCGTCGTCGTCGCCGTCGCTGTCGTCGTCGTCGTCGTCGTCGTCGTCGCCGCCGTCGTCGTCGTCGTCGTCGTCGTCGTCGTCGTCGTCGCCGCCTGTCGATCCAAGGGCTCCCAGGAGGGCGCGAAGTGATTCGCGCTTCGCGGTCCTCGTTCCTTCTCCCCCTCCTCCTCGTCCTCCTTTTCCCCCCTTGGGGGGGGGGCGGCGCGAGAGCGCGAAGTTCTTCGCGCTTCGCGGAGCGCGAAGCGCGAAGTTGGGAGCCCTAGTCGGTCCTGGCCGGCCCATCACTGGCCCAGCGCATGCACAGGCCCTGGTCTTGAGTCGGGCCTGTCCCTCTACAGGAGGGATATTCAAAAATAGTGAAGAAGTAGTCTGGGGACTATTTTTAGAGTATTGTTTGACCATTGGGGGGTATGTTTTGACTATTTTTATTTTTTCGTCCAAAATTCCCCCGTAGGGGGGACATGCCCGACCTAACCCTGGTCCCAAGATGGGCCCGGCCCGGATCAGTGTATGTCCATGTCAGGAGGGAAAAGAGCACACAGACACAATGAATCGTCGATTCCGAGGAGAAGATGGGAAAATGTGGGAAGTGGGGGGAAGACGAAAACCCAGAACGTATGGGAAAATAGGGGGATCTTGTTATCTGTGTCTATTTATTTGTGTGTGTCCCAGGGCCCCATTCATATCAATGGCGGCGGCGCGAGGGCGCGAAGGCGAAGATGGCCGCGCCTAGCGGGCCACGCGGGGCGCGAAGACGACGACGATCCACGGCAGGTTCGCGCCGCGTCGGCCGGCGGCGGCCCCGCCGCCGGCGTCCCACGCGGAGCGCCTGCGGCAAGCCAGAATCGGTCGATGTCGAGCGATCTGACGCGTCGGAAACGGTCGATCGTTCCAGGTGGAACGATCCCCGCGGCGTCAGGAGCCCACGCCGATGTCGGCACGACACGAGCCTGCCGTAGTCGTCGTCATCGTCGTCGTCGTCGTCGCCGCCGCCGCCGCCGTCGTCGTCGTCGCCGCTGCCGCCGCCGCCGCTGTCGTCGTCGTCGTCGTCGCCGTCGTCGTCGTCGCCGTCGTCGTCGTCGCCGTCGTCGCCGTCGTCCCCAGCAGGAGCGGGGGCGCCCAGCCGAGGCCCCGGCCGCCAGCCAGCACCTGCCGCTCGGGCCGCTGCGCAGCGCCCCGTGCCCGCAGCGGGAAGAGCAGCCGCGGGGCGCCGCGCGCGGGCCGCCGGCGGCGGCGCCGCCGGGTATCTTCGCGCCGCGGACGCCCCCGCCCACGGGCCTCGGCCTCAAGGTCGGGGGCGACGGTAGGCTCCTCGCTCCTCGCTCCTCGCTCCTCCTCCTCCTCCTCCTCCTCCTCCTCCTCCTCCTCCTCCTCCTCCTTCGCGTGCTCCTGCTCCTCCTCCTCCATCCTCCTCCTCCTCCTTCCTCCTCCCTCCTCCATCCTCCATCCTCCATCCTCCCTCCTCCCGCTCCCTACCTCCTCCTCCTCCATCCTCCATCCTCTCTCCTCCTCCTCCTCCTCCTCCTCCGCCTCCTCCTTTCTCCTCTCGCCTCCTCATCGTCCTCCTCCTTCTCCTCGCCTCCTTCTCCTCCTCCGCCGCCGCCTCCTCCTCGTCCCGCCTCCCTCCTCCTCCTTCCTCCTCCTCCTCCTCCTCCTCCTCCTCCTCCTCCTCCTCCTCCTCCTCATCCTTTCTCCTCCGCCTCCTCATCGTCCTCCTCCTCCTTCCTGTCGTGGAACTGTAAGACTCGATGTGTGCTGGAACTTGGGTTCGTCTGCGCTTTTTGACGGGCCCCCGCCCTGGATTTTGACAGTCCAGCTCTCGTGGGGTGTCTGCAGCGGGAGATCTCGCCCAAATGTCAGAGTGGCTCTCGTCGTTTTCTTGACGGTCCCGTCAGGCCAACCCGAGTCCCCCGAACCCGAGTCCTGCGTCTCCCTGATGGGGGGAGGATAGGCACAGGAGGGGATGCATCGACCTCGAACGGTCGATGTACCGCATCGTTGCTGTAAAGGGCGATGCATCGACGAATGAACATACGGTGCACGGGGTGGTCTGCAGCGACGATGCACCGACAGCGCGACGTGTCGGCCCTTCGAGGTCGATTCATCCCTCCCTGTGCCTGCCTGCCCCTACAGTTCCACGACATGGGGGAGCACGACGAGGAGGAGGAGGAGGAGGAGGAGGAGGAGGAGGAGGAGCAGGAGGAGCAGCAGGAGGAGGAGGACGAGGAGGAGGAGGAGGAGGAGGAGGAGGAGGAGCATCCCCCCCCCCTGTGCCTCCCCCCCCCATCGCTGCCCCACGCGAGGGCGGCGGCGCGAAGCCCGCGGGCGGCGTGCGGGCCGCGCCGGCGGGGCTCTCGCTGGCTTCGACCGCGGCGTCCACTCCGCGCCCCTCGGAGGCTTCACAGGAGGGCGGTCGAGACAAAGGCACAAGTTGGAGGGGGAGGGGGTCCTCCTCCTCCTCCCTCCTCCTCCTCCTCCTCCTCCTCCTCCTCCTCCTCCTCCTCCTCCTCCTAGCCGTTTCGAGGCGAGCACGGGGCTCGCTCGTGCGGGTGCACACTTCGAAGCGGCGTGCCCCCGCGGGCCGATGGCGAATGGTGCTGCTGGAGGCGCACGCGGTGCCAGCCAGGGTGGCGACCCTTGGACGTGCAACGCGTGTGCAGCTGGCTACAGCAACATGGCGGGGCGCACGGTGTGCAGGCTCTGCCAGGCGGCGCGGCCGCCGTGAGGTGCTGGCACGATCGGCGACGCCATCGACAAGGCCAAGAAGGTCAAAGCCAAGGGGAAGGCGAAGGCCGTGGCGAAGCGGGTGCGGTTCGCCTCGGACGGGCCTGGCCCGTCCGCCGCCGCGGCCACGCCGGCGCCGTGGGCGCAGGGCGCGGCCAAGCAGGCGACCGCGGAGAAGCCCAGCAGCGGCGGCGGCAAGGACGAGGAGGTCCGCCTGGCCCTCCTCCGTCACGTCGGCCCCAGGGAGGGCTGGTCGGCGGCCCTGGTCCAGGACTTCGGGGCCCTGGTGCCCGAGGCCGACGTGCCGCCGCCTGCGAAGCCCTTGGCCGAGCTGTCTCTCCAGGCCCTCCTGGCCAGGGAGGCGAAGGTCAAGGGCCAGGTCGGCCGTGCCGAGGCCATGCTGGCGGCGGCCAAGGAGGAGCAGGAGGCCGCCGCGGCGCGCGTGGCGGAGCAGGAGGACGTCCTCCAGAAGCGCCGTGACCAGCTGGAGGAGGTGGCCGAGGCGGTGCGCGCCAGGAAGCGCGCCGACCTGGCGCAACACACAGGCCCGTCGCCCATGGAGGTGGGCGAGCCCGAGGAGACGGGCGACCTGGGCAAGGCGCTGTTCAAGAGCCTCGAGGGCCTCGAGGCGGAGCGGGAGCGGGTGCTGCAGCTCGGGGAGGACGGTGACGCCCTGCTCGCGATGGCCGCGGAGGCCCGCTGTCTCGTGGAGAAGCTCGCTGCCGCCGACGCCCGCGCCCGCGAGGCAGCGGCGGCTGAGCGAGCCCGTGCGGCTGCTGCTGCCGCCGAGCGGGCCGCCGCCGCGCAGGAGGCCGCCCCCGCGGCCGCTGGCGAGGTGGATGGCGCTGCTGGTCCTCCTGGAGACCTCAAGCGCGTCGGTGACCTCGGCCTGGGCCCAGAGCTCGACGGGCTCGATGCCTTGTTCGACGAGGTCGGCATGGAGGACGAGCAGCAGCGGGAGGCCCGGCGCGCAGCGCTGGCCAAGCGCCAGCGAGTGGCAGGCCCAGCCTCTGGGTAGCCGCCCGCAGGCGGCGGACGTGGTGGAACCGCGTGGGGCTCCGCGCAATCGCTGGTCGAGCGGCTGCACGACGGCGTGGGGCGGCTGCCCGAGGTGCTCTGCCTCCAGGAGCACCGCTTCACGGGCAAGCAGGCGGTGGCCCGCGCTTCGGGCTGGATGCAGGCGCGTGGCTTCAGCTGGCACGGCCAGGCTGCGATGGCGACGGGCCCTGGGCCGCTGGAGAGCTCAGGAGGTGTGGCCGTGGCCGCGCTGCGGCCGTCTGCGGCAGTCGCGACGCCAGGGCTCCCAGCCCATCGGTTCCAGGCGCGCGAGGTGAACCTGGGATTCAGGGAGCCGTGCCGTGTCATCTCGTCTTACTTACTTCGTCACGAAGATAGGCAGGGCGACGGAGAACATCGGGCTCATGGCGGCGCTGCACGAGTACGTCGGGCAGCTGGAGTCGCCGTGGCTGGTGATGGGCGACTGGAACACGGAGCCCGAGGACGTCCGTGAGTGGGCGCGCAGCTCGGGCGCTGCCCTCGTCGTCCCAGCGGAGCCGACCTGCGGCTCGAAGGTCTTCGACTTCGCAGTCGTCAGCAAGGTCCTCGCGGGCTTCGCGGAGACGGTGGAGGTGCTGCTGCAGGCGCCGACGAGGGACCACGCGCCGCTGAAGGTGGTGCTCCGTGGCGTGGGGCCAGCGGCGAGGGTGCAGCGGCCACTGTTCCCTGCCGCCTCCCCGCTGCCGCTTCCGCCGCCAGCGAGGCCAGCGCCGCGTGAGCGTGGGTTCTCGGCCTGGGGCCCAGGAAGTGAGCAGCCGCCCAAGGTGGGCTGCCAGGAGTGGTTCGAGGCGGCGGAGGCCTACCTGATCGACCTCCACGGGATCGTGCCGCCCAGCCGTTGGAAAGGGCGGGCTGGCGGGCTGCGCGCGCAGAAGGTCAAGATGGAGGTGGCCTGGAAGCAGGACCTCAAGAGGAGTGTTGGCGCGGCGTGCAGACGCTGGATGTCGTTTGCGGCGGCGTGCTCCCGCTGGCGCGCGCTGCAGGAGGCGGCGCCAGGAGGTCGCTGCGCGGCGCCGCTGCGCAAGCAGCGTCAGGTGCTGGAGGCGTTCGAGCTCGAGTGGCCTGAGGACGGCCCGCTCGCAGGGCTGTCGGTCGCCCGCGTCGTTGGCTTGCTCAGCACCTCATCGCGCAAGCTGACGGTGCAGTTCGTCCGGGAGGAGGCGAAGCGGCGCTGGATGCAGGACAAGCAGCGGAGGGCTGCTGAGTGGCGCGCCTGGGCCCAGGCTGCTGCCACCGAGAGGGGCGGCTCGGCGGCCTTCCGCTTCATCAAGCAGGTCACGGTGCTGCCCACGGTGGTGCACGCGGGCGCAGACGGCGACGACGGCCCGCGCATGCCTGCAGCAGGCGAGGCCGTGGTGGCTGCACTGCTGAAGGCGTGGCAGCCCCCCTGGATCAAGCCGTCGCGTTCTGGCGAGGTGGCGCCTGAGGACTGGGACATCCAGGAGTCGGTGCTGCCGCCGCTGGAGCTCGAGGATCTGGAGCGGGTCCTGGGCACCTACCGCGAGGGGTGCGGCCTCGGCTGGGATAGGCCCCACCCGAAGCAGCTGCTGCGCCTCCCGCGGTCCTGCAGGGAGCGCTTCCTGGAGCTCCTCCAGGCCTGGGAGCGGAGGCCCACGCGGGAGGCGCTGTGGCAGCTGGTTGTGGTGTTCATCCCCAAGGCGACTGGAGGGCAGCGACCGATCGGCCTCACGGCCATCTGGCTGAGGGTGCGGAGCAGGATGCGACAGCCGCTGGTGGCCCGCTGGGCGGCCTCGCTGCAGAACCCCGCCTTCTGGGGCACGTCGGAGTGCCCGTGCGAGCGCGCAGGAGTGGTGCAAACCTCCTGGCGGCCTTCGCTCGCAGCAGGGGCCTCTCGGCGGCAACTGGAGTCACCGACCTGGCGAAGTTCTACGAGCATGTCAGTCACGAGGAGCTGCGCGTGCAGGCGGTCGCCACGGGCTTCCCGCTCGCGCTGCTGCGGTGCTACTGCGTGCCGTACTGTACGCAGCAGTGCGTGTCGTGGTGCGGCTCAGTCTCCTAGCCGTTCGAGGCGAACGGCACCATTGTGGCGGGATGCAGTGGGGCGGTCGGATTGGCCAAGCTGCTGGTGCATACCCTCTTCGTGAAGATCATGCGTGAGAACCCTGTGGTTCGCCTGCAGAACGTCGTGGACGACGTGTTGGTGCTGGTCATCTCGGAGGCGAAGACGGGCTACCTGGTGAACAGCGAAGACCTGGGCGACGCGCTGGACGGCTGCTGGGCGCACGGGCCGCTGGCCCGCTGGGCAGGTGCCCGCTGCCTTGGTGGTGACGCCACCGACGGGCGCTGGAGGCGCGTGGGCGAGCAGGGCGCGCGGCTCGGCCGCGCGGCGGCGGTCAGTGCGCGGGCGCGCCTGCTGCGCAGTGCTGGTGCGCGGGTGGGCCACATCCAGAGGGGGAGCCCCACTGCCACCGCCGTCTGGGGCTCCGCCGTGACGGGCCTCGCCTGCGGGAGGCTGCACGGCCTGCGGGCCGCCGCCATGCGCGCGGAGGGCAAGCTGCCCACGGGCGCCAGCGTTGGCCTGCGGCTGCGGGCGCAGCAAGGCGCCGCCTACCGAGACCCCTTCATGGTGCACGCGGTGGAGGTGGCACGCTCCTGGGGCATGGCGCTGGAGACGGGCCTGCCCAGTGCCGCGGTGGTGCAGGAGTGCTGGCGCGGGGCGCAAGGCCTGCTGGAGCTGCGCCGCCCCTGGGGGCAGCGCCGCGACCCTACGCAGGCGTGTGTACTGGCGCTGAGGCGGGTCGGCTGCGAGATGGTGGCCTTCAATGCCGTCATCGATTGGCAGGCGCGGGTCTTCTCGCTGGAGTTCTTCTCGCCAGGCATGCTGGTGCAGGTGGTGCGCACGTCGGCGCTGCTGGCCTCGGATGTGCTCGCGCTGCGGCTGCGCGGGCCAGGCGCCTGGGCATGGCCTGTGAACTGGAAAGGGCCGGAGCGCCCCCCCCGCGTGAGCCGCCGCCTCGAGGAGCAGGCCTCCGCTGAGGCCGCCCCTGGCTCTGGCCGCCAGGGGCCCGCGCGGCCGCCGCCGCTCTGGCAGGCCCGTCACAGGCGCGCGCTCGTGGCGGTCCTCGGCGGCTCCCGCTGGCCGCAGGAGCGGCTCTGGAAGGAGGGCAAGGCGCTCGACGGCCGCTGCCGTCTGTGCGGAGGCAGAGGCACGCTGTGGCACAGGGCTTTCGAGTGCGACGCCTGGCAGCCGCTGCGGAGGGACGCGCGCTCGCCCGAGCTGCTGGAAGGGGCAAGGCTGGTGGCGCAGCGCGGGGATGCCGCGGCGGAGCTCTTCGCGCGTGCGCTCTGCCCCGACCCTGCCCTTGCCTTCCCCGCGGCGGCAGACGCTGCGCTCGCGGCCCCGCGCTGGTTCGGCGTGCCGCCTGGCTCGAAGTTCGCGGGCAGGGTCTTCGTGGATGGCAGCGCCAGGTTCCCCGCGCTGCGAGGGGCACGCCGCGCTGGCTGGGCTGTGGTGCAGATCGGCCTCGGCGGGGAAGTCATCGGCGGGATGCACGGCATCGTCTCGTGGAGGTACGGACCCGAGCAGGAGGCCAGGGACGGCGAGGACTACGCGTTCCACATGCTGGCCCAGTACTGGCAGGCGTCGGACGACGGCGCGGGCCTCGAGGTCTTCTGCGACTGTGCTTGCACGGTCGGCCTGGCGCTCTCGCGGGGCAAGGCCCTCGCGCCGCTGCAGGCGCGCCGCCACCTGCGGCAGGAGTGGTGGGCGGGGCCTGGCCTGACGGCCACAGTGCGCAAGGTCAAGGCGCACAAGGCTCTCGCCGCGGCGTCCACCTGGGAGGAGGAGCCCATGATCAAGGGCAACAGGGCAGCCGACCTGTGGGCCAAGAGGGGCGCCGCCCTGTGGCCGATCGCCGAGGAGCTGGTCTGGTTCCTCCAGGCGTGCGCCTGGCGTGCGGAGGAGCTCGGGCGCTGGATCGGCGAGCTGGCCGCCACCATGGTGGACCACGAGAAGCTGGACTCCGACAGGGTGGTAGGCACGGCCGACCTCGTCTACGACATCCCGCAGGAGGCGCTGGACGCGGCGGAGCAGGCCGACGAGGAGGTGGCGGCGGCGGCGCTCGAGGCCGAGCTCGTGCATGGCCAGGCTCCTGCTGCTGGTGCTGGGGCTGCTGCTGGCGCGGGGCTCGGCCAGCCACCCGACGCCGCCGCCGAGGCCGCCGCAGTCGAGCTCGAGGACGCTGCGGCAGCCG